GCACGTCAGTTACGTGAAAGCACTGAACATGCATCCGGGTGGTGTACATCTGTTACAAGAAAGCACCGAACATGCATCCGGGTGGTGCACGTCAGTTACGTGAAAGCACTGAACATGCATCCGGGTGGTGTACATCTGTTACAAGAAAGCATTGAACGTGCATCTGGGTGGTGCACATTGGTTATGTGAAAGCACTGAACATGCATCCGGGTGGTGACATACACTGTAATTATCACTGTTCTAAACATTTTTTTTTCTCTTGTTTCACTGTGGCACAGATATCCGTGTAGTTGTGGGTAAGTATGGATAACACTCGTATACACTGTAATTATCACTGTTCTAAATATTCTTTTTCTCTACGAGGTTGGCCATCATTATTTTGGATAAAAACAGCTGGAGATGAAAATGTGAACTCGTGTTTTGTGATGGTCCCAGATGCATGTTCAGTGCTTTCACATAACCAACATGCACCACCCGGATGCATGTTCAGTGCTTTCACATAACCAACATGCACCACCCAGATGCATGTTCAATGCTTTCTTGTAACAGATGTAGTGTTATCCATACTTACCCACAACTACATGGATAACTATGCCACACTCTACAGGTGTCTGTCACAGCTATTTTCTTTCACCAACTAAACAAAGAACATTTAATCCTCTCCAGCAATCAATATCTTAGGTGAAACAAGGAACTAGATCATCATAGCAATGTAACGTGTTACAACAGCATGTTATTGTTACAATATTAACTTGATGATAAACTAATTTTTAAACAGTACCAAATGTACAATAAAGGTTAAAATGACAACCTCATTTTCTATTCGTAGAATCACAAACACTGATGAAATTTGCCGAGAAAAAAGTGGGGGTTAATCAACTTCTAAGATTCTTTACGTAGAAAGGCAGAGTTAAAAAAGTGGGGGTTAATCAACTTCTAAGATTCTTTACGTAGAAAGGCAGAGTTAAAAAAGTGGGGGTTAATCAACTTCTAAGATTCTTTACGTAGAAAGGCAGAGTTAAAAAAGTGGGGGTTAATCAACTTCTAAGATTCTTTACGTAGAAAGGCAGAGTTAAAAAAGTGGGGGTTAATCAACTTCTATGATTCTTTTCGTAGAAAGGCAGAGTTTGTATGTTGACCAACAGAAAAAAAATCTCACTTGATTTTAGAACACAACACCTGTAATAGTTATAATTACCTTCTCACACGTAAAACATCTCAGAATTATTTGTAGTAAATATTAAGTAACTTGTCAGGTTTTATTATTCAAACTTCGGACTTTTGTTACTTAGGGTCACCTACAGAATATCTAAAATCATTTTGTTACTTTTTTCTTTTACAGGGGCATGGGAGGATGTTCTACATTACAAATATACTGTTATCGAGATCAAGATTCTTCAGGGAAAATTTATTCAGTGCAAAAAAAAGGGGGTGATGAGAAAAATTTACAATTAATGTCTAATATTAATTTTTATAACAGCTCCTACTCAGTAGTTTGATTTTTACCACAACATTTCAGATGATGTGAGAAATGCCATTTCTCATCAACATAACACTTAAAAGCAAGTACCATGGTTGATCCTTAAGTTGCGTGAAAGACAAATGATGAAAAACCTTAGATACTTTACAAAAGACGGCTGAAGCCTATTACAAAATGTCTTTTAACTTCCAAACAACAAGATATTCTCTAACCCAGGCACATTGTTTCTTAAGTGTTTCCAGGAGTAACTCTGAGAGACAAATAACAAACACTATGTAAAGAATTAAATATCTGTAACAGTATTTATGTGAAAACTTTGCCCCAAAGAAGCTTGACAATACTCGCAAACAAATAGAGAGTATATTTTAAAACATTCAAGATGTGTGTGTGTGTGTGAGATATACAGTAAGTACACTGAATTTCAACCACAAAGCCTCTAAGGCTTAAAAAGTTTTACATAAAACTACTTTCATATTTGTAGTTCAGAGAAAACATGTCAAAATTTATTTACTTTTGTTTATGGCTTAAACAGTCTTCTGCATGAGTACTTAAACATTAACTGCAAAAATATTTATTTACTTCTTAAAAAGAAGTATAAAAATGAAACTTACATAACATTCTGCAAGCACTACAAATCAAGTCCTAAATGAACACAATTTAAAAGGTTGTTTTAGACCATGCAGTTCTCTTTTACTCACACAAACAATTCACTTCTATACATGTAAAACTGAAATTCAGCTTTTGTTTTTACCCACATTCTCTGGCTTGCCTCGTTCTTGACCTCAACGAATTTAGTCTATTGCTATGTACAGGTTTACGGCCTCAAAGCTACCTACACATTCACACTGTGTCCGAACCGTGCGGGAAGGAAGACAGGCTCATTACCCTTTCACCTTAACTAAAAGCCAAAAAGAAAATTTTGAAAAAAAATTGATGTTTTTTTTTTACACTTTTCAATGATGCTGTACAATAAATGGAAATTTAAAATAAATCTTAGCTACAGTTCAATTCTATACACTTCTCAGGACTTATGATTCGAAGTGAGCCAGGTGAGTCCTTCGTACAGTCCATCCCCTGTTGTGGCACACGATGGTTGTACATACCAGTTGCGGTCTCGAATTCTAGTGAGTCCAAGTTTCTCCTGGATTTCGTGAGGTTTCATTGCTGTAAGCACAAAGAATACCGTGACAAGAAAAGCTACAAGTGTGTGAAATCTACATCAACCAAGAGTAACAACATCTACGTACGTTAAGACCAAAACTGTAGTGATAGCAGTGTTTTCTATTATACATATCTGTATATAAATCACATACAAAAATAATTCAGGTGAAAAACATTGTATTTGTACTAACATGCACAACCATTACATACGATAAATATACACATACACCCAAAAATATCAATGTTTGTATAACTGTGTTAGTGTAGTATTCTAATTCTAATCAACGGATACTTATACAACACTTGTGTATCGGTGTACGGCCATTTCTTCTCGAGCTTGATGATACAGTCAGCCGAGATAGCAGCTTAGTGATCTTGAGAGTTTTGGAATTTGTTTTTGCTACTTAAAAAGATAAAATCAACAAGTAATCAAGGAGGAGGTGATCTTCCCCAGTGATGAGCCACAGATTAAAAAAAAAAAAGTGGTGTGAGGGTATTGAATCCATTAACAGTTATTTTAGAAAGATCAATGTATCAAATCCTCGATCTTCTACTAGCACCAATTTCAAACAGACTACTGAAGGGGTGTGAAGCTTAAAATAAGCTATTTCTATTGGTTATTACTGTACATCAACTAGAAACATTAATGTGAAAACTATCTTGGAAGATAAGTATAGAATGGTGGGAATTCTACTGTGGGTCATGAAAACTTATTTCTCACTACAGGAAGAAACTATCACATTGAAATTATACACTGGACTTAAGAATTACGTGTACAGTAAGTTGTGCAGTATAACTCCAATGATATTGAAGTTATACAGACTAAAAGAGAAGACTGGAGACACGTTATGTGACACTCGAAAATGAAGAATGAGAATTTTTTTAAATACTTCCTTTTGAAAATAATAAATTAAAACTTACATAATATTAAATTTCAAATATATGCTAATATGTCTAAACATACATGTTAACCTACTCAAATGTCTCCTGTATAAAATATGTGATTATATATTTATTACAATGAAGAACATTGTAAAGAATTTTAGTATCATAGGTAACGGAGGGTTGCCACCCCACTACGTTTTTTTTTTTTTTTTTATTGTGGGATATAGTATACACATGACATTGACAGTAATTAAGTCACACTTCTTTTTTTTACTCCCCCACGTTTTGATCCCAAATTCCACTTGTGCTTAGCATTAATTGTACCTTCTGGCAGGTCCTGCTTGTTGGCAAATACTAGGATGATGGCATCTCTCATTTCTCTGTCATTGATAATCTTGTGCAGTTCCTGACGAGCTTCATCTATTCTGTCCCTGTCAGCACAGTCCACAACAAAGATGAGCCCTTGTGTCCCCGTGTAGTAATGTCTCCATAATGGCCGGATTTTATCTTGCCCTCCAACATCCTACAAAGAAAAAGATTCATTATGTTTTGGCCCTTACATTTTCCACCATTTTGTTTACCAATTACTTTACAGTTTACTTGCATCATTACTTTGAAATCTATTAAAGTAGATTTTTCCTAACTTGGCTGAATGACCAGTAAAGACTGTGTGTGCATATTGTTTGCTAAAAAAACCCCAGACATACGTACTTAAAAACCAAGTTCACTTATACCCTATCTCACTGTATTTAAGTACAAGATCACATTCTATGGCCAGCTGGTGGATGTTCGTTATCTATGTTAAAATATCACAATGACATAAAAACAAAAGCAGATCTTGTGATGATATATTGATATAACAAAGATATGAAATGAACTACTAGTTTTATATGCATATCTGTGATTCTTCAAAGTTTTTTTTTATGTCCTATAATTCATACAAACACATATTCTTACACTATAATTTGCAACATTAATGATCCAAACTGTTCAGTAACCTGAATATATAAAAGACTGTTTATTGTAGGCATTATTAATTAATTAATTTTGTGTTCGTAATTCTTTGATGTTGCGGCTATACAGATTTCTAGAAGGCCTAAGTGATAGATGTGTGTGTATATATATAAATAATTAATGGCAACCAGACAAATAGAAACACAGAGAAAAAGTAAAGTAATGCAAAAGAGAACATTGATCAGAGAAAAGTTAACTGTCATGGGAGTGAAAGGCCTAATGGTTGATATATTAGAGTGAGATTAAGAATTTTAAAAAAGAATAAATTGTCTCATCAAAGGGTGTTCTAAAGTAATTGAACCTGCCTCAGTGGACTTTGACAAAAGGCAGATGACTATTGGAAGTACGAAAGCAGACAATGTAAGTGAACTATACATAAATGCTGTTGGGATAGAAATAGAGAGAAAAATAGATGGGCTAGTCAACTGAATTCTAAAGCAATTGAATAGGCCAAAGTGGACTTTTGACAAGAAGAGGACTGGATAATGTTTAAGATACAACTATGATCTTCATATTGTAAATAATTTTGTATATACGTTCAACTTGTTTCTAATATATACATTATTTTAAAACACAAGTGGAGTGAGTGCTGTTTGTTTATTGTCAAATTTCTCACCAACAAGTCACAGACACCTACTGTTGAAAAATCCTTGGCCCAACACACCCATATATAAAAAATGATGACAAATTTGTAACAAAGTATTTAAAAGAAGTTTTTTTGGCTACTTTTACACATGTCATTTTTTAAAATCTTATTAGATTTGATCCATGTTTCCTACTAGCAAGTTATAAAGGTTTCAAAGTTTTAAAGTGAAGAATGCAGCATTTCAGAATGTGTTGGCAGAAGTGAAAGTTTTGAAACAGAAAGATAACTTGGAGAATGTAGGAAGATATCACATTAGAAAATAAAATATTAGTAGCAAACTTTTAATGTCTTCACTCTTTATTGAATTGTGATGTATTTATGATCTATTACCAAAATACACTTTTCTTTATTTATAATTATCTATATTATTAACATTCCCTATCATATAAACTATTCAGAAGACAGCAAACAGGAGAATTATGGTCACAAATTTGCAGAACTCTGTATGTAGACCAACATGACCATGTGGAAGACAACGTACACAGTCATATGGTTTGTTGTGAGACCATTATGCATGGTACATACTGATATAAAACATGCTGTCCAAAATTCAGTTCAACAACTACCAAACAAGTCATGTAATGTAACAATTTGTAATGACGTGCAGAGTTTTTTCCATACGGTCAAGTTGGGTTCCACACAGAGTTTCCGAACAAATGCAGTCACCTGAATAGTGGAAATGACTTTAGACACCAACCTCATACATTGCAATCGTTAATAAAGTTCTACTTACCCATACGTTAAACCTAACGTTTTTATATGTCACAGTTTCCACGTTGAAACCTACTGTAGGTATTGTTGTAACAGACTGACCTAGTTTGAGTTTGTATAAAACAGCTGATATGCAAATTAAGGAAAGCTGTTCATTAACTCGGCCTAGGGAAACAATTTTCCCAGACACAGTTACAAGTACAATGGTTCCTCCTAGTACTACAAAAATACACAACAACTATAATGATACAAAAGTGAATCCAATTCTTCTAAGTGTTATCATCATCAGTAATATATTTACAATTTATTTTACATCAGGACTGTCTTTCATCCTGAATTGATTATTTTTGTGAGTAATGACACTAACAGGTTAAGAATCTTAATTTATCAAAAATAATAATATTAAGTCAAAATGGAAATACTTTGATTACTTGGATAGTTAACAGAAAACAATAATTTCAATTAGTTAATTATTTTCATGACATAGATTTATTTAATTGACACTTTAAATGACAGTAATCGATTATCATAGGTAATAAGTTAAACTAATTAACCAGGTTCTTCACTTAGATCTATTAATTAATAATACTTTGATCATCAAGTCTTGAAAACTGTGCCAATCCTTAACAGACAAATGTCAAATTTAAACAACTAATTACACTTTTTTTTTTATAAAAGGATACTTGTTTTTCCTGCTGCGTCTAAACCAAGCATAAGAATTCTCATTTCTTTATTGCCAAATATTTTAGACAAAAACTTTCCCATGTTCCTGCACTTAGAAAAGGACCACTAAAACCCTAGAAAAAGAAAAATCATATCATTACAATTATGTACATACATAAATCATCAAGCACAAATCAGTACATTGTACTATACTTGCTGAGGAAATATATTTATAACATTTGTATTTTCTATAAAAATGCAAAACATGGTGGGGATTTCTAAACTTCTTCTGTAATAAATGTTGCAGATCACATTACATGCTAGTCAGATCAAACAACCACTACTTGGAGGAAAATATATTCAACAACAATACTCCAGAACAAGGCACTTTCATTTTATACAAAAAATAAAACTAAATTTCAAGTAATAGGTCTTATTATATTTTACTTTGAAATACTAACTTAAAACTAAATCTTGTATGTTTGACAAGAGTGTATTTGGTGCTACTAGCTGTACACTATGAGTGTTAATATCTTTGTAGACTGTACACTATAGTGTTAATATCTTTGTAGACTGTACACTATGATGTTAATATCCTTGTAGACTGTACACTATGATGTTAATATCCTTGTAGACTGTACACTATGATGTTAATATCCTTGTAGACTGTACACTATGATGTTAATATCCTTGTAGACCACACACTTCTACACAGATATTTACACTATAGTGTGTGGTCTACAAAGATATTTACACTATAGTGTGTGGTCTACACAGATATTAACACTACAGTGTGCATTCTACACAGATATTAACACTATAGTGTATGGTCTACAAAGATATTAAAACTATAGTGTGTGGTCTACACAGATATTAAAACTATAGTGTGTGGTCTACACAGATATTAAAACTATAGTGTGTGGTCTACACAGATATTAAAACTATAGTGTGTGGTCTACACAGATATTAAAACTATAGTGTGTGGTCTACACAGATATTTACACTATAGTGTGTGGTCTACACAGATATTTACACTATAGTGTGTGGTCTACAAGGATATTAACATCATAGTGTACAGTCTACACAGATATTTACACTATAGTGTGTGGTCTACACAGATATTTACACTATAGTGTGTGGTCTACACAGATATTAACACTACAGTGTGCATTCTACACAGATATTAACACTACAGTGTGCATTCTACACAGATATTTACACTATAGTGTGTGGTCTACACAGATATTTACACTATAGTGTGTGGTCTACACAGATA